TCAATTTTAGTATATATATATATATATATATATATATATATATATATATATATATATATATATATGTATAAAAGTGTGTATATATATATATATATATATATACATACACACAAATTTAACAACATAAATAGAATTAATATATAACCCATAAATCAAGCCCTACCCACATTTCTCACCTGCACAAGACAGGCATGCGTGTGGAGGTGGTGAGGTCTCATACTTATACACATACCCATACTTTTACACTGCGTGCCAAATTATTATCAAGATAACTTTTTTTCTAATATTCCAAAAACCGTCCAATCAATTCACACAAAATTAACACGCAATGTTGGCAACACTGATTTGTGCAATCCCTGAAATTTTTGTACTGATCTGCGCAATGTAAATAAACTGGCACCATATTTGTTATCAGCACGGTGATTTGAGCGTGCCAAATTATTAGAAAAGTGTAAGAATTTAGTGAAAAGATGGACCGTAAAAGCAGTTTAAGTGATGCTGAAAAGAAAACTATCACCTCAGAACTCAAAAGGTAAATCTACCCTAGAAATTTCTAAAATGATAGAAAGGTGTCATCAAACAATGAAAAAGTTCACTGCCGACCCTACACAAGTACGCAAAAGGGCAGATAAAGGCAAGCCAAGAGTTATTTCGCATTGTCTCATGTCACAACTTAAACGAGAGGCCACGAAGAACCCTGGACTTACCAATCAAGAGCTTTTCAGTCGCATTGGGGATCCTACTGTGTCTAAAAGTACTCGGTGTTGGTATCTGAGGGAAATAACAACAACAGTCAAACCTGTATCGTAGCCTCCGTTGACAAGAAATCACATTCAAAATCGATTGAAATGGGCTGAGGAAAATATGAAGATTGACTTCTCTAAAGTTTTGTTCACAGATGAAACTCTAACAACACTTAATGGACCAGATAGATGGTGCAAAGGCTTGGCAATGAACGGACAGAATCACCATCAGCGTTTGAGACGCCAACAAGGCAGTGGAGGCATAATGATCAGGGGTGGTATTATTGGAAAAACATTAGTGGGCCCATAGAGAGTACCAGATGGTGTTGAAATGACTGCTGATGCACACATAGCATTTATGAAGGAGCATCTTGAACCGTAGATGAAAAGGCAAAAAATTGCCTTCAGAAGGGCCATTGTTTTTATGTAAGATAATGCTCCCTCACATGCTGCTCACAAGACAACTGAATATTTGAAACAGTTAGGCTTCAATGGACCTCAAAAAATGAAGTGGCCTGCAAATTCTCCGGATATGAACCCAATCGAAAACCTTTGGAGCATCATAAAGCGAAGACTGTATGCCAACGGACAACAATTCAGGAGCAACGCTGAGTTGTGGGAAGCAATTCTTGACATATCTCGCAGCATTACAGCAGATGACATCCTACAATTAACAAATTCTATGGATCATCGACTTCAAGTAATTTCAAAACAAGGAAAGCACATTCCCTATTGATTTGTTTAAAACTGTGCCTTTGTTTGTATCTGTTATTATTTGTTTGATTATCTTATTTATTAGCTTCTTTTGATCATAAACATTCACATGCAACATTAATAAACGTTTTGTTTGCTCAATTCTGGGAATTTTACTAAACCTTTCTAATAATTTGGCACGCTCAAATCACTGTGCTGATAACAAATATGGTGCCAGTTTGTTTACATTGTGCAGATCAGTACGAAAATTTCAGTGATTGCGCAAGTCAGTGTTGCCAACATTGTGTGAAAATTTTGCATGAATTGATTGGACAGTTTTTGAAATATTAGAAAAAAAGTTATCTCGATAATAATTTGGCACACAGTGTATATACACTTATACATATCATATGCACTCCCAAACAACAAATGATAACATACACTTAACACACACACACACACACACACACACACACACACACACACACACATCCCATTCCCAGCAACCAATAAAACTGTCAAAATGACCAAATCTTCACAGCCTTTAGCTTCAAATTAACTTGAGGCCATTGGACCAACACAAGGACTGACCAAAATTAATGATAAAAAAACAAATGAAAATTACAGATAAAGTTCATTTTCTTCAGAAAGTCATTCATTCCTGTAGTTCACTGCTACTAACAAGCAGGAATTTTTTTCCTCCAGATAATGGCCATGCTGGTCAAAACTAATTGAGAAACCTAATTGAAATAATAAAACCCCCAAAAATAGTAATATACAATCCAGTGTGTCTGAAAATTTCAACTTTTTTAATATTTTTTATTTTTCAAAACACACACATCCATCCATATATATATATATATATATATATATATATATATATATAGAGAGAGAGAGAGACGCATATACAATCTCATAGTCAAAAGAACAGATACTGACATATGGCTATGAATACTGATGAATAGAATGAGAAATTGGTTGAAAGCTGAATAGATGAATAGTTTGATAGGCATAAGCTAATATGAAGAGGCTGAAATAGACCTTTTTTTGATAGCTATAAGCATAGAGTAATAGGCAGAGATATATAGATAGATAGATTCGCATAAACAATGATAATAGGCAATCAAGACTCGAGATAAAGAGATTGAGGTGTATCAGTGGCTTGCACTAAAATTACTGCACAGTAATTCATTTTAAATTTACTTTTCTCTCCATTGATGCAAATAAATTTTCTTTATTCATTAGCATTCAATAGGTAATGAATACATTTTCTGCATATATTTCTCATTTATTTTCAAAGCAGTCTTAGAGTAAATGCCTTGCATGCCCATACCACTGATTCACAAGTAACCATTTTTCAGAAAATTCTTCAAGAAGCTTTGTCTATCTGATATATAGTTAGTTTCATGACAATTCAGAGAGTCTTTTAATTAAGGGAAAAAAGAAACTGATAAAGCCTTTTTCTCTGTAAATATGAATCTTATAATAATTAGCCTAATAACATCTTTATTTCACTTTATCATTTATACGGCATTATAATTGAATAATAATAATAATTACATTTAATATTATTTTTCTGATTTTGTTGATACCTGTTCCTTTAGTAAGTCAAGTAAAAGCTATTTGTAGCTTTCCATGTTCAAATCCAGGACCATCTGTTGGAGGACCCCCTTCCTGATTAATCTTGGCTTCAGGAGTGTAGCCATACTCACCATACTTTGCCTATTGTAGGTTGGTGAAGCTATTTAACCCATAGTTGGAGGTTTTGAATTCTGAGTTATCCTCCTCCTAGATCACTTACTGCCAGAGGCTATAGGACCCAGTCTGGAGGTAGAAGAGACAAATTCATATCTTTCTCAGGTGTATTTGCATGTGAGTGAGTGTGACAAACCCAAATGGAATTCAAACACGGCTCTCCGATTTCTCAATCTGAGCCGCTATTCATTACTTTACCATGCAGCTATATAAGTATAAAATAGAAAAATCATATGACATATTCCCAAATGTCTTAATGTTAGAGAAACCTTTTTGCAAACTACATATTCTTTGTAAATTCTTTGTATGTATATCTATTTCACAATGCAAACCTTCCTTTTGGCTCTTTTGAATCAATATTTTTGATAGACATATCAGATCCACAGTCTTTTATTCTGAAATTTACTTGAGGTATGTAATTCATTCTTTCATTGCAAGAAAATATATTTGCAACTACCAATGTTCTTTGGAGGTTTCAGAACAATAAATGTTCCAAGGCAAAATTCATAAATCATTGGCTTCAAAACCGTTGATTTCAGTTCTTTAGTTTGGATTCCCAATACTTGCATAATCTCTTTAAACAACATTTAGATAACAGGAAAGTTTCTGTGTAGTCTTTTTCTAATGCTATCCCCGCAAATCAATGTTGGCAAGTTTTTTTATTCTTTGGTTGTTTTATGACTACTGGTTAACCCATTCTATCAAAAGAATATTGGGATATTTGAAGTAATTTTGAACTTGTTCTTATAAAGGTTCCAAAAACTTTTTGCTGCTCTGCATTTTCTTGTCAGTATTCAGTACTTCCTGAATATGAAAGTAAAATTAAAGATAAAAATAAAAATCATCTGTCTTGTCATCAGACTATAAATGAAAAAATATATATATATATATATATATATATATATATATATATGATTCCAACGCATTGGAATCATATTTTTGAAATAAATAATTATATTTATGGTCTACTTTTTGTATTGAGCACTATTTTTTAAAAATAATAACAAAAATACTAAAGAAGTTTGGATTATTTACCTAATGAGTTCTTTCCTATTTTCTATATATTTTCACACACACACACACACACACACACATATATATATATATTCCTTGCCAGTAGGATGACTCAGAGTTTTATGCACAACACAATCTTCAGGTGTTCAGTTAAGGTGAGGTACTCTGTTATATTGCATTGAGCACTATTTTATTAACATCAGCACTCAATGTGCATGAGTGTGTACCCATGTGGTTAGAATGTTCACTTTCTGACCATGAAACCTGGGTTTGAATCTCACCGTGGTTGATTTGTCAGGAAGGAGACTTCCTGATGCTATTAGTCTGAGGGGATGATCCCAGCATGTGATACCTTTGGAAAGTGCCTGAAAACCATACCATGGGTTGACCCAAGCCTTGTGAGTGAAATTGCATAGACAGAAACCTTGGGAGCCATTAATAGTTGTGCTAGCATAAAGTCACAGGTCATTGTGACTGAGAGCCTTATTCAGACTATTGAACACACTAGATAGTGCGCTCTCTAAGGTCCACTCAGCATAGTTGCAGTATAAACCATTTTATTGACACACAAAATAATCTCCCCCACAATTTCACATGTGTAATGTTTTTTCTTTTGCATGCAAGAGTTCCATCTACCCACTTTCACTCACAAGATTTGGGTCAACCTGTGGTGGTATTGTTTTCAGCTACTTTTCAAAGGTGTTGCATGCTTGGATTTCCTCCTCCTGACCATTAACATCAAGAAGTTACCCTCTTGACAAATCAACCATGGAGAGATTTGAACCCAGGTCACACATTAAAACACCAATTCCCACATGATCACCAAAGTTAAGCAACATTGAGCTTGGTCAGTACTTGAATAGGTGACTGCTTGGGAATACCAGGTGCTGTAAACTTGTACGCATGAGTGATGTAATGTATAATAGCTCAGAATTTTTATTTGGAGAGACAAGTTCCAATTCCCATTGGTTTCATTATATTCACTTAGAGACTTATTCCCTTGGGAAAGGCATGAATCCAACTCTTCTCTTCTCAGTTATGAATTATTTACTCAGACTTGTATCATTAAACCAGTATTATATCCAAAAATATTCTTATTTAAAAAAATATTTTCTGGCTTTAAATAACCTGCAAATGGTTGATAAACTGTAGAAAATAAATCAATCAATGTTACCACTCTTTCCAGTATTGATGGAGGCTTCCTTCCTAATTATTTGTTTGAAGTTGTGTGGAATGCTAACATCTTGATTATGTCATTATTTTTTATGCGCTCTCCATCACAAAAAGTCATTTGTTGATGAAGAAAAAAATTGACAAAGATGATTTTTTAAAAATCCCCTTTGGATGGGCTGAGAACTTTTCAGTCTGCCTTCATCCATTTATTCTTTATCTATTTTGTTAAAACATCAAAAGAATAAGAACAAATATTTTTAAAATACAAATTTTTAAATTCCAAGATTTTGACAGCTGTCCTTCAAAGTTTTGTTTTATTTTGGATGCCAAAATGATTTTTGGGAAATAATTTCTGATGCAATTTACTACATGTATAATGATTCTGAAATTTTTCCAAATTATTTGCACCTGCTTGCATACCAACCATATTTATCATGCTATTAAATGAAATCTTGCATTAAAAACGGGTAATTTTAAAACATTTTATACGTTTCTCCTTTTAAATGGTAAAAAATTATTTTCTTAATTTTTTTTATATTGATTTTACTGATTTGGCTTTAATATAGTTTTAATGCTTTCAAATTCTTTAAATTCTGATCCAGGAAATTGAATGAATTTCTGATGATCTTATCCCTCTGAATGATAAAAACCAAAACTTGAGGTTTACCAAATCAAGTAAACATGGGAAGATGTGAAAAGCGGTATCATAACCCCAGTACCCGTCGGCATGCCCACTGATTGGTGTAGCACTATGGTAATTACCGCCAAGAAAAATGGCAAACCATGAAGAACCATAGACTACCAACACTTGAATTCACAGTGCAAACGGGAAACACACCATACAGGGTCACCATTCCAGCTAGCACTACAAGTGCCACCTAAACAAAAGAAAACAGTGTTGGATGCTGTTGATGGATATCACTCCATCCCCTTAGATAAAGAGTCCCAGCCACTCACCACCTTCATCACAGAATGGGGAAGGTTCATGTACCTGAGAATGCCACAAGGTTACCTAGCATCTGGCAATGCTTACACCAGAAGATATGATGAATAATAAAAGACATCCCCCGCAAAGTAAAAAAAGTGGATGACACCCTACTCTATGACTCTGACATTGAAGGAGCCTTTTTTCACACCTTCGATTTTCTCCTCCATTGTGCAAAAAACGGCATTGTACTAAATAGAGAAAAATTCCAATTTTGCCAAGACACGGTACAGTTTGGGGGCCTCCAAATAACATCTTCTGGTGTAACCCCTTCTAAATCCATGCTGGAGGCAATATTAAGCTTCCCAATACCAAAAACGCTCACCGATGCCAGATCATGGTTTGGGCTGGTCAACCAAGTCACTTGGGCATACTCACTGAGCCCAGTCATGCTTCCATTTCGTGATCTCGTAAAACGAGACTCACACTTTACATGGAATAAAAGCCTTGAGGATGCATTCCAGCATTCAAAGAAGGTCATAGTTGACTTAGTCCGAAAAGGCATCGCAACATTTCAAAAGAAAGAATAACCTGCCTTGCCCCAGATTGGAGCAAAGATGGAATGGGCTTCCTACTTCTGCAGAAGTATTGCTCATGCACCACTGACAAAGCCCCAGTTTGCTGCCCTGAAGGTTGGCGCCTAATATTTGCTGGTAGCAGATTCTGCATTGATGCTGAACGCAGATATGCACCTATTGAAGGCGAAGCAGCAGCAATTGCGTGGGCATTGGAAAAATGTCGGATTTTTGTAATGGGTTGCCCGAATCTCATAGTGGTTACAGATCATGAACTACTAAAAGGATTATTCAGAGATAGAGACCTTAGTAAAATCCAAAACCTCCGATTATTCAGGTTAAAGGAGAAAACCCTCAGGTACAGATTCACCATTCAGCACTGCCCTGGGAAATGGCACAGAGCCTCTGATGCTGTCTCTCGTAACCCAGCAGACATCTCACAGGCACTCCTAAATGTATTCACTGCTGAACCCTCTCAATCAGACATCATAGAGTCTGACAACATGGATGACTGGGTCAAATCAACAACCCTATTAGCAACATTCGGTGCAAATGACAACCTGGAGCTCATCTCACCAGACGTTATCCGTATTGGTGGGACGCAGCGACCCACAATACAAAAAAAATTAATTGAAGTAATACAAAATGGATTCCAAAGGACAGATCCTCACTGCACCTGAAACCGCGAATACTGGGAAGTGAGGAACCGCCAAGTGTTGACGACGGGTTAGTGCTCTTAGATCAAAGAATTGTTATTCCCACCTCACAACGCGAAAAATATTACATAGCCTACATTCTGCACATCAAGGCAAAGTTGGCATGAAGGCACGTGCCAATGAATCTGTTTATTGGCCCGGAATGAATGCTTCAATTCGTAACATTAGAGCAGGTTGTACGTTCTGCTCAAAAATTGCCCCGAGTCAACCAAAAGAGCCAATCAATTTGACACCATCTCCTGATTGGCCATTTCAGCAAATCGTCATGGACATCTTCCATGTTGGGAACCATGGTTACTTAGCATGCGCTGACAGGTTAACGGGCTGGCTAAATCTATACCACTTGAGCCACGGAGAAGCTAATGCCTCAAGGATTATTTCGATTTGCCGAGACATATTTCAAACCTACGGCGCTCCTGAGGAACTCAGCAGTGATGGTGGGCCACCCTTCACATCTCTTCCATTCAAGCAATTTTGCAAGACTGGGCTGTTAAACAAAGGTTATCATCTGCTGGTTACCCACAATCCAATGGTCGAGCAGAGCTCGCTGTCAAAACAGCCAAGAGAATCATAAATGGCAACACAGGAGCCCAAGGATCGTTGGATAATAACCGTGCAGCAAGAGCCATCCTCCAATACAGGAATACGCCTATTCAAAACATTGGGCTATCCCCTGCTCAACTACTACTCCACTGCCGACTACGTGACTATATACCATCCCACCCCACACTCTATAAGCCACACGCGAATTGGATAACCGCAGCCCAAAATCGTGAGATAAGTCTGTCCCGGCGGAACGCTCGTCTCATAGAGCGATACAACAGAACAGCACACACTTTAAACCCCCTTCAAAAAGGACAAATAGTGGCACTACAAAGACCAACAACCCGTCGATGGGACACAACAGGTCAGGTCATTGAAACCCTCCCCAACCACCAATACCGTATCAGAGTTGACGGATCAGGTAGAATTACCTTACGAAATCGCTGATTTCTCAGAAAACTTGATACACCAACAATTCCAGTTCCAAGACCTAGTGCCTTACCCGAGACCCCTACACCAGTGCCACAAACATTTGACACTGGAATAACATCAAACACTGCTCAGCCGTCTACAATAGCACGGACAAAAACCCATCGGGCATTGTCCAGACTACTTCCACACAACCAGCCAGGTTTAAAGGAACAAATCCCTCCCCAAAGGCCACTACCCACACGCGATGGGGGGGAAGGAGATGTAGAATAACAATACAATAAACAACACTTACCAGCATAAGAGTCCCAGCTAGCGTCCAGCTGGCAGACAAAAATAAAGCAGGTTGTAACTTAATACAAACCTTGCAAACTAACTGAGAAATCAAGCTGGTATTTATATAGAAATACTTCCACTCAGGTACCAGCAGCCAATCACAGCCCAAGCAATGGACTATCCCACTTTAGTATAATGAGATGCTCCATTGCACCATAAATAACTCTTTCTCAATGTTGAATTAGTATTCACTCAGCTTGCTCCGCAACTGAGTGTTTATCTTGACCACGTGATTGTTCGACATTAGGCAGGTTATGTGCCATTTTTCTCTCACCCTCTAACCTCCAATATGTCCAGTCAGTGTCAAATTTTCCAAGCCCTCTTTCTCCGTTATGTACCCTAGAATTTTTAATTTTCTCTTCTAATGTTAAGAGATTTCTATTTTTTCTGAAACTTTTGTTGTTCCTCAAATGTTCAATCCATGGTATTCTCAGCATCCTTCTGTAGAACTACATTAAAGTTTATTTTTCATTTGTCCAGAGATGGTCCAGCATTCACTATAAGTCTTTATTTTTAGCCCAGGAAACCAAAAAATTAAAACTCTATTTGCTTAGAATTATTTTAAATATTCATCAGAAAACTGTCATAAATTTTAGGAAACATTTAATTGAAATTAACTACAAATTTTTTTTTTTAAGTATTGGTTATATTTTACTAGTATTTAGTATACTGGAGCTGATTTTGTCAAAAATACATATGCATATATGAATATATAAAGACAAGAGGAAAAACTATTCTTAGTCAATGCGTTTTGTCCTCTGAGAGACTTTATCATGGCAAATGTATGAATTTATTTTGTTGCACATGTTTATATACAAGAGCAAGGATATCACTTTTGAATTTGAGAACATTCATGAATATTTATCAGTTGGTTGAAATGTCAGTCAAAACATGTGGACGACATGAAGCGCCATAATTCACACTATATCTGAAAATAATTTACACATATATATGGGCACATAGCTGAGCAGTTAAAACATTCAATTTCTGACCATGAGACCTAAGTTCCATTCTAACCATAGTCAATTTGTCAGGAAGGTGACTTCTTCATGTTTTCACCCTGGGCAGGTGATCCCAGCATGTGGCACCTTTGGAAAGTATCTGAAAACCAAACCATGTGTTGACCCAAGCCATGTGAGCAAAACTGGGTAGATGATACTATTTTGGGAGCCATCGATGACTGGACTAGAACAAAG